GTGTATATTTATATTTGCATTTCATGAACACAGCTTATTTTGTTTTAAACTTAGTTTGTTGTTGGTTGGTTGATTGGTATGGCCCTTGGCAATTCTAAACCAGGATTTCCAAACATAGAGTTTAGTTTACAATTTTGAATCTTACGTTTGTTTTCCCTGTGGAATTTTGAATCTTTTAATAATACTCTTCTTCAAGGCCTTGAAAATATTGACAGACATCTAAGATTAAACTGTGGAGTTATATAGAAAAGAAAGGATGATCATGCCATGTTTGAGGAAGACACACTACAAACAAGCTGCTGTATTCATTTTTATCTTTGTTTTGTTTTATTTGAATTACTGCTAAATAGTACCAAGAGGAATCTTGAAAGATTCCTTTTTTTTTTTTTTGAGGAGTCTTTGAGCCTCTTTGAAGATTTTTATATAAGAAAAATTTCCAATTCATGTATTTGACTGATGTAATGTAGAAAATACAAAGACCAGTATTGAAATTACTGAATTCTCTCTCCTTGTCAGCCAAAGATGACTTGGCTATTGATTAAGACTGCAACAGATGTGAAAGTTCCAAAAAAGTGATGGAGCCAACTCTGAGAGAAACAAGACATTGGCTTTATGGTTGTCCTTAGTGATGGTGGTTGTTTTTTTCTTTTAAGAATGTATATAGAGGCCGGGTGCGGTGGCTCATGCCTGTATCCCAGCATCCCAGCACTTTGGGAGGCCAATGTGGGCAGATCACACGGTCAAGAGATTGAGACCATCCTGGCCAACTTGGTGAAACCCTGTCTCCACTAAAAATACAAAAATTAGCCAGGCATGGTGGCAGGCACCTATAATCCCAGCTACTCAGGAGGCTGAGGCAGGAGAATCACTTTAACCCGGGAGGTGGAGGTTGCAGTGAGCCCAGATCATACCACGGCACTCCAGCCTGGCGACAGAGTGAGACTCCGTCTCAAGAAAAAAAAAATATATATATATATACAGAACATTTAAAAAACTAGAGAAAATATTTGCACATATATCTAATACTTCAATCCTTTTATGGAACCTGTTATTTTGCTTCCATCTTTTCTTTTTTTCCTGTCAATTCTCTTTTCTTCTTCTATCCTTGACTTCTCTTTGTTGATTGTGAGTTTATTGGCATAAACTTTCTCAGAGATGTTCCCAAGGAAGAATTTAGTCTTGGTACTTTAGTTAGCAAGTTGGTGTTTAAGATGACTAAGAAAATATAGCACTACCCAGATAATCCCATATCCCATGATCTACTTGTTAAGGAATCAGAGCTCCATAACCGGAGTCATCTAGACTCACTGCTTTCCTGCAACACTGGCATCATCATTGGTGGATTAAGATTGAATGGGGCATTGTTGATCCTCTTAGCAACTGAACCCTGCCTTGACCTAGCTTAGAGAACATGTGATGTTACATGAAAAACAGATGAGTAACACAATGCATATTAGAATATAATAAAATCAGTTTCATAAAGCCTAACGTATTAACTTTAAGCATAAATATCCCTAATAATTGACTACATCCCCAAGAACATATCTTGTCATTTTCCATTTGCAGGAAAGAAAAGCAATGTATGTAAATGCAATATATTCAAAATTATTTTCTGATTTAGAATATTTATTTACTATCAGTGCATTGCTAATTGCCTATAATTTTGCCTTCTGTAATTATGCTAATATGATGAATAAAGTGTAGTCTGCAGTATTAATTTTTATGCCTATTTTTCAATTGGATGGCTCTGCATGCATTTATGGCTTAGATACATCTCATCTATGTGTGTAAATATTTTCTTGTTTGCTTATTTGCCTTTGCTTATTTGCATTTAATGAACTAAGATTTCACCTCACTTTACCATATGCAGACACTGCTCCACTTATTTTTCTAATAGTTTATATGTCATGCAATATAGCATTTTATGTTAATAAGGTATCTTTCATATAATGACATTATGTGTTATGGCAAGAAAAGTCTTGCTATTTTGTGTGTGTGTTTAACGTTATCTAATGTACGTCTATGCCATTAAAGTCAGTGATATATTTTGACAATCAATTATGCTCAGCAACTGAGTATTTGAAGGAAGCAATGTAGTGTAAATATTGAGGTTTTATGTGTAAAATATCTATATTTTTCAGGCAGTTCAGGGTTAATGTATGCTTGAGTCCCTCAGAGTAAGTCACATGTATTAACACATTGGCCTCTGGCACAGTTTTTTGAATATCACCCAATAGCTGGATTACTAGGGCTCATTGTCTTCTATGGCACAAAATAAGATTAGGCTATGATTAGAAGAAATCACACTCAAGTGAATACAAGCTGCTGAAATAATGTTTCCAAGATCAAATGCAATAACTATGACCAAGGACAATAGGTCTTTTTCAAAGGTTTCCATATTTTCATTAAATTATATAAGGAAAGGTCTTTAAAAAATTTTAAAGAGCATGAGTTATATTTTTAAAAATCTGTTGTTTTGAACTTGACACCCCAAAAGTTTAACATTAGCTTTAATCTTACTTAGATATCCCTAGTTGAAGCTTGTCAAATTTTTTATGTAGTCCTGGAAGCATGTATGTAATTTTAGAATATTAAAAAATTACATATTGCTTTTGGAGAAATTAGCTTACATGTTACTAGGGTTTTAAATTATTTTTTTCTCTTGTTTAATGCTCGTCAGCAGCTATGATGGTGGGGAGGAGTAATTTTTTTGCAGCCTATTGGCTAGCCTTGGAAGTAGTGCTGAGGTGGGGTTAGGGACGAAAAAATGGTTAAGTCAAGTATTTATTCAGCTATTTAATATTCATCTACTAGGGCTGCTAGAAGCAGACACATTTCCTAATTTAAGGATATTTTTGAATACAAAGATGGATGTCCTCCTTTGAGCTCCTAGGTGTCATATATCTAATAAATAATGTGAATATATAAAGACAAATGAAAAGAAGTATGCACAACATGTGTGATTCCTACTTCCCTGACTCAGCTGGGTTCTATCTGATAAGAGTTTTCATATAAATAGAAGATGAGGAATATTTCCTATCTTAATATGAGTGAGAACTATAGATCCATATGCCAAATGTGTTATGCCCGAAGAAAGAAATTGGTATTATGGGAAGATCACTTATCACTGTCCATTATCTCAAATTTCTTTCTCCTAAGTTAATATTCATATTCAAGGCCCAGTTAGATTTTCTTGCCAAAGCCTAATGCTCAAACTAATTGTGTTTTCCAAATATGGAAACTGACTTTGAGTTTTGTGTACAGATTAGTGTGTAGAATTGGCCAATAAGTTGGTTTTGTAATTACATTTATTTAATACAGTTTTTCAATAAGTCAGGAAAATTATTGTTTGGAAGATACATTACAGACCACTAAGAAAATTATGTATATAATTTCAAGATGTACTATAAAATTGATTAAAATTCAGTTATATCAAAGGGTAGAAAACATCAATATTAGGATCTATGGCATGTAGACTAACTAAAGATTCATAATTGAATAATGCTTAACAAGTCCCCCGTGATGTAGCAAGCATGGGTACTATTGTCTGCCCTGCAAAGGGAAGGCACGAGAGCCATTCAGTCCACAAGTACTTATTAAGCATCCAGCATGTGCCAGGTATGATGCCAAGTTTTCAGCCTGCAACACAGAACAAAGCAAACATTGTCCCTTTTTGTGGATATGTGAAGGGCTCTTAACTGGCTAAACTCACACACTATGTCAGGCATCTAGAGGTCACCTGTATGTCTAACCAGCCTAGCACGGAAATACGTTACCAAATTAGCCTCCTGAAAATGGTGACAGTTTAAAAATACTAACTCAGATGCAAAAAATACAGAAGAGATAAATAAATAATATATGCGTTTCCAGTCTTTTTCCAAAAAGTACATGTTAATGGTTTCCTGCATATCAGTTTCATTTTTAAACCTTTCCTCTGACCGTAGGAGCTGATGCTGTGGAAGCTCAGTGTAAGAGATTTGAAGTGAGAGCCAGTGAAGATGGCAGGGTGCTGTTTTCTGCAGATGAAGATGAGATTACCATTGGTGCTGAAAAGCTGAAAGTTACAGGTATTGTAGATGGAGGTCTTGGAACATGGTTTACTTCTTTAAAGAACACAACTGCACAAGAAGCTACTTAATAAGATGGATGATTCCTATGCTTAAAATAGAGTCTTACGTAATCACAGCGTTTGTTTTTCAAATAGTCTTCAAATGGACGGCACTGGTTGTGGTTGTAGAAGACAGTACAGGTGTTAGCAGCCTTAATGACATAAAAGTGAAGCCATCTCTCAGGTGGAGGTAGGTGGAAGAAAATGATGTGGCTGGGCGGGGTAGAGATAAGTGCAAATTCTGAGTAAAGGGGACTAACAAATCATAATTAGGGAGTATTATTTTAAAATAAGAGACGTGTGAAGGAACTAAAATGGAAATTTTAACTTTAGAATTAAGTAAGGGGGAAGTTATCATAAAAGTAAACTAAATTCATTTTATATAGCGTTCATAATTATCCTCAAAAGTATGTAAATAAAAAACGAATGCTATGCACCTGTTATTTCAAAATCATTATTATAATATGGGGGTCATTAAAGTCAACCAACAGCTGAAATTAAAATTTTAAAAAAGGTAAAAGTGGGACCAGGAGTGGCGAATAATTTGATGACAATTTTAAGCGCAATCTCTTCTGAATTACTTGATTCACAACCATGAGAAATTTTATTTTGATAACATATTTAACAATCCCTTGAAAGTACCCAAGGAGGTTTACATTTTAAAAAACAAGAAGAAAATAATAAAGTATAGTTGACTTAATGTTTCCCAAACTTGAGTTTGGAAACAGCTCATGAGTATCTATCCATATTAATTTGGGTCAAACAGTCCTGTGGGCCACGTGAGAGCAGTTAGCATGGCAGCTGAAGAACATCAACTCTGTTCTTGAGCTATTTGGGTTGAATCCTGCCTCTGCCTCAATGTATTCAATTCTCGATGCCTCTGTTTTTCCCTCATCTGAATAACTGAAATGATAGTAACTTTAGTGGTCAAATTAAATGCATGTGTGTGCATTTGTGTGATGAGAATGTGCTCAGTTCATAATGAAGATGTTGTGTTGGCTCTTTATATTTATTAATGATGATAATATTGATACTACAAATGTCGGAGACAAGAGGGCCTGTGTTGATTTCGAGAAAGGTGTGTTAAACTAATGCAGGAACAGAAAGCCAAATACCACATTATCATTTATAAATGGGAGCTACAAATGATGAGAACACATGGACACGTAGAGGGGAACAACACACTGGAGCCTATAAGTGGGTGGAGGTTGGGAGGAGGGAGAGGATCAGCAAAAATAACTAATGAGTATTAGGTTTAATAACTGAGTGACAAAATAATCTGTACGACAAACCGCCATGACACAAGTTTGCCTCTGTAATAAACCTGCACATATACTCCTGAACTGAAAAATTTTAAAAGGCGTATTGGCTGGACATAGTGGCTTATGCCTATAATCCCAGCACTTTGGGAAATAGAGGTGAGAGAATCACTTGGTTCAAGTCCAGCCTGGGCAATATAGTGAGACCACATGTCTACCACAGTTTTTTACAATGAACCAGGCATGAAGGTGTGTGTCCATAGTCCCAGCTACTCAGGAGGCTGATGTGGGAGGATAGCTTGAGTTCAGAAGGTCAAGGCTGCAGTGAGCCAAGATCATGCCAGTGCAGTCTAGCACAAGTGACAGAGACAGACCCTCTCTCAAAAATATAATACAATAAAATACAAAGATATGTTATTAAGTGGTGATGAAATTCAATAGGGATTATTGAATGGGGACCCTCACTGTGTATCCCCTGGCCTGAATGAAATCCTACCATCCTTATCCCCACCCCTGTCCCTCCTTTCCCTTGGGAGCATGTTCTGCTGAGAGGGTGGAGCTTCCACCATTGGGTGAGTGTTTAGGATGGTCCCCATGAATACTTACCTGGTTGATGTCCATTTTTCTTAAGACTTCGTTGGAAGGCTAGGAAAGGAGGCATGTATGGAGGGTACAGATTGACCTTCTTGAGTCCTGAGTTAGGAGAGCAGGGACAAAGAGAGAGAGAGAGAGAGAGAGGTCTGTTTGGCACAGAACACAGACAAATCATAAAGGACATTGGTTGTAGGGCCCTGAGCACTCACATTTGAATTGCTTATTGGTGAGTAAGTGAGGTGCCCTAGGGTAGAAATGCCTTCAGGGGAACTCAGCAATATTAATAGTCTTTGAACCCTGGTAATGCCTATTGGTCATCACTCTTGAGACCAACATAAGCCTGAGATAAATTTCAGGACATTACAGAACTTATCAAAAATATATTTAAGCCATATTCAGATATTCTCACTGGGTACTTTACAATCATAAGTAAAGGGAGATTCTAGAGCTCTTGGCAGCTTTTAAGATCTCATGGAATTTTCACTTCTTCTGATATTTATATTACCTTTACCTGTCTCATAATTGTTCCAGTGAAGTAAAGGCAGATATAGTCACATTCATTTTCTGCTTTTGCTTAGTAGCCTGGATACCATCCTTGAAATGTTGCTTGAACTAAGTGCTTCCTTAGCCCAAATAGGCAAGAAAGTGCTTCCTGAAATATCTAAGTTTTTCTGCTTTTTAATTAAGTGCCTTAAGGCGGTTGTCTCTTCTCTCTCCCTTTCTCTTTCTCCTTTGGTCTGTCTCTCTCCCTTCTTCCTCCTATTGCTTCTCCTGCTTCCCTATCCCATATGTGTGTAAAATGTTCTCAATTGATCTATGTTTTCCAATCATCTCAGACACCCCTAGTTAATTATAAGTCTGTGTCATATGCATTCAGATGATCTTAATAAAATAATAAAGTTACAGCAGATTATTGTAAAAGGTTGAAACATAATACTTAGAATGAAAGAAATACCCACAAACTGTGAGAGTGCCAGTAGCAAACAATGTTGACTTTTAACCTGATGCGGAGGTACAATAGGCTGAACATTGTTAATAAATAAATGGTAAATTATAGAATATTTCATTTGATTAGAACTTTCCTCATTAAACAATCACATTTCTTTGTCTCCTACAAGAACCCATTTACCATTTATACACCCTAGAGTCACAAACATAGACACAGGCACATAGACAAACTAATTCTTGCCAGGTCTTTACTCCTTTACCAGAATAGCAGATATTAAATTTACAACAGCTTCATTCTTTCCCATGATACTCCTTAAAGAAAGAAAAATAAAAATATCAAAGGCAAATATAATTTAGAATTTCATGTGCTTAGAGGAAAAAAAAATGTGTGTAGCATAGCATGCAGTTTTAGAGCATTAAGATTGATTAGTAACCTCACATATACTTTAAAGCAGTGCTTGAATCATTTGACAAATAACAGTACAAAGAGACATTGACTCCAGGGTGCTTCATATAAATTAGATACCTGTGTTGACAGGACTTCAAAGTTAGATGTGACGAGAGATGTGTGTGAAGTTTATTCTAGAATTTCAAATTCGTGGCACAAACTTATTTAACCAATATTTATAGGAATTAAATTGGATCCCTTTCAGCTTTTTATTTTTTGAGCAATGCCATCTTATAAAGGAACTTATCTTTCACGATGATGTCAGTGGATGGATTCATTTAGACAAAGGGTGTGTCTGTACATCTGAGGCAAGATCAGTTATGACTATAGTAATTCACAGATCTAGGGTAGCTCATGATATTTACGTTCACTCTACCTACAAAGCAGCAGGAATTTACCTGATACATTCAGATACTCATGGGTGTGGAAGGACAGAAGTAAAATGGTAAATACATACCTGAACACCACCACCTATGAATACCCCATCACCACAAAGAGCAATCACATGCTTAAGGTTTGTGATTTTTCACTCTTGACATTACTTGTCTTGCCCAGCAGAAGTCTGCTTGAATCTTAATATAATGATATTTATTTGACCTTAACATGTCCTCTCTGTATCACTGAATATATAGGAGTTTTATACTTTAGCTCACCTATGCACAATTGAAAACTATATTTTTATTTTGTATTCCCTACTATTGGCCAAAGGTATGACTGAATCCAATTATCTTTTGAGATCTAGCCAACAAGAACAACAAAAGGAACAAACCTTTACACACAGAAGTCTCTTACATTTAGTGCTTTCAGGCAGAATCAGTCAACTGCACTCTGCAGTTTCATTCGTATTCCATGTAGTATATTAACTTTAGAAAACAAATTTCACGAATAAGCCACTCTCCTTTAACAAGTGAAAGACATCAGCCCCGTAGAATTGTTTCATGATAAATTAAAAGCTATTAGTTAGACTTAGACCTAGACCTATTTTTTTTATATAATGTAAAAGAGGACAATAGTTAAATGTACCAAGAGAAAGCATATCTGTTTTTTTAAACAGTAGCAATTAAAACTGACAACCTGAAAGTATCGTGAAATCCCACTCTGCATCCACCCAGTGCCCTAATGTTTGTTTGAAAGCCAAGAGTATCAATCCTTTGCCTCCATTCTAATTGAATGGTTAGAAGTCTAGACAAGTTCCGATGCTTGTTTAACAACAGAAGAAAGGACTTTCTGAAGAGCTGTCTTTTAAATTAAACACCATGCTTCTGAGTTACAGTCAATATCTTCTGGTTTGTTTTTATTAGTTCATCTTCTACATCCTTGTTCTTGTCTATTAAATTGGCACACTGCGATGGGGTCAGCTTTGGACTCAACCTTTCTATTAGATAGGCCATTGTTCCTCTTCGCTGTCCAAATGCCAAGAATGCGG